TCTGTCTGTTTATTTAGAGAAAGTACGAACAGGGGAGGGGCAGAGGGAGAGAATCCCACGCGGACTCCTTACTGAGTAGGGGAGCCCAACTCGGGGCTCTATCCCACAACCCTGAGATCACGCCCTAAATTGAAATCAAGAGTTGGACGCCCCTCTGACTGAGACACCCAGGTGCCCCGTTGCTTTTATTTTAAAGAATATTTTGGAAGCAAGCTTCAAATTCCATGCAGCCTGAGCTTCCTGCCTTTGGGTGTTGCTGGTGATGGTTCAAATAGCCTTTCCCTTTCTCTGAACCTTCCCAACGCTGGTGTCTGTTCCATTCCTGTCAGACTTTTCCCTACTTGGGTACCTGCTTTATGATCACTTTGGTTCATTTACAGCATCCCTGTCCTCTGTTAGACTTGGACAGCTGTGCCCAGCTGCAGCCTGCCTTTGGGGGTGGATTAGCATCTGTGCTGTGCTTGTTTGCAGAAACGATGGGACAGAATTTGGTGGCTCCATTTATCAGAAGGTGAACAAGAAGTTAGAGACCGCTGTCAATCTGGCCTGGACAGCAGGAAATAGTAACACTCGCTTTGGAATAGCAGCCAAGTATCAGATCGACCCTGACGCCTGCTTCTCAGTGAGTACCTGTGGAATCACGTGTTGCCGAGGCTCCACCTGATGGTGGGGTTGGAATCCTTCTGGATTGCTGGGGTTGCATGCTTGGGCTAGAGATTTTCTCCCTGTGGAAAGAGTTTGAAATGAGGAAAGTGCTAATAGTAATACCGCTGACTGTGGGTGCCAGGCGCTGTGTGCAGCCTGTTATATGTGGGTTACTGTATTTAATTCTTACACAGTCCATTTGAGGTAGGTGCCTTTTCAAAAAAAAAAAAAAAAAAAACATCCCAACCCTCTGTGCACAAATGAGGAACTGGAAATTCAGAGAGGTCGAGGGCAGATGGGGCAGACAGTTGGTAAGTGCTGGGGCCTGGACTTGATGGTTTGCTGGGGAGCCTCCTCCTCTAATCAGCCCTTGTTCCTCCTGCAGACTACAAAGAGGTTTACTTTGAAATTGAAGGTTTTAAATGTTCATTTTTCTTCTCATTTCTCATTCGCTTGCCCAGCTCCTGTATTGGATATTAAGAAACCAGGCCTTGGCATTTAGCAGTTGGCATCTAATCTTGCAGACTCAGTGGCATTGCTCACAGACCTTTGAATTGCTGCACGATTTTTGCATTAAATCCTGTTGAATTCATCTCTGTTGTCAGAGGGCCCTGCTAGCTGCATCCCTTTTGGGGTGGAATGAGGAAATCTCGTGTTGCAGGCCGGTCCTTACGTAATTTACAAGCAGGCCATTTGAAGTCTGAAATGGCAACGAATCTGGCTCCCTTCACATTAAGCACTTAGAAACAAAGGAAAAGGGGCCTTAGTAATTAGATGGGATAAGCAAAAAGGAAGAGCCGGATAGGGCACTGTCTGCTGGGGGATCTTCCTACCCATTGCTTTGTTCTTTCTCATGGGAGTTGTCAGGTCTGAAAACAGCATTCAAGCAGGAAAACATGCACCGCGGTAGCCTCAGCTTTTTCCAGGATTTGGTGTTCTCATGGCTTGAGATGGCTCTGCTCTTGACCTCTCCTTATTTCACCAGAAAGGGGCCAGAGAGAGGCCCAGATTTCCCTACAACTCAGACAGAAGAATGAGGGCAAAATTATTATTGCCTCAACTGCTTTATTGAACTTAATTATTTTTTTAATTTTATTTATTTATTTGAGAGAGAGAGAGAGCACAAGCAGGCGGAGAGGGAGAAGCAGACTCCCTGCTGAGCAGGGAGCCTGTTGCTGGGCTCGATGCCAGGACCCTGGGACCATGACCTGAGCCGAAGGCAGACCCTTAACTGACTGAGCCACCCAGGCACCCCTGAACTTAATTATTAATCAGTATTCACTGCTGAAATTTAGGTGACTTGGCTAAGTCATTCTTTTGCTCTAATACACATTTTAAATTCAGGCATGGCAATGCTGAACCTTCTTCATGTCACTGTGAATTTTTTTTTTAAATATTTATTTGACAGCACAAGCAGGGAGAGCAGCAGAGGGAGAGGGAGAAGCAGGCTCTCCGCTGAGCAGGGAGCCCGATGCAGGGCTCGATCCCAGGACCCTGGGATCATGACTTGAGCCAAAGGCAGCCGCTTAACCAACTGAGCCACCCAGGCGCCCCATTACTGTGATTTTTCCCTTTTTCATGAAGGGAAAATTCTTTTTTTTTTTAAAGATTTTATTTATTTGAGAAAGAGAGTGAGCGGGAGAGAGCAAGAGAGAGCGCACACAAGCAGGGTCAGAGGGAGAAGCAGACTCCCTTACTGAGCAGGGAGCTTGATGCAGGACTCCATCCCAGGACCCTGAGATCATGACCTGAGCCGAAGGCAGACGGTTAACTGACTGAGCCACCCAGGCGCCCCTATGAAGGGAAAATTCTAACAGTGTTATGCCTTAAAAAAAGCCTCAATACTCCATCTGACATTGGCTCTGTTTCCCTTATCCTAACAAATAGATTTTGAAGAAATCTTCCATATAAGAAAGGCTTTTATTTCTTTGGCCACAAATGAAAGTGTCTTCACCTGTTAAAACTTAAATACAGACCTAATCAGTATAAATGAAATTGGGCATTCATACCTTCAGGAATCAATTAAATAATAATTTCCTTTTAATTGACAGTTGTGTTGACTCTTTGAGTTTCTTTTCTGAGACTTAGCTCTCAGATTTGATATATTTCATGTTAAATTTAATGAATCCCATAAACAAAGTGGTCATGAAAAAGAATTTGATCCTGAAGTCCAGGGTTGGTTGATTACAAAGCTCTTACTTGTTTTAGAGATGGAAACATGAAGTACTTAACAATTTACTCTCTCTTATCTTTTCCTTGACTAGGCTAAAGTGAACAACTCCAGCCTGATAGGTTTAGGATACACTCAGACCCTAAAGCCAGGTATGTGTTGCTTTTATAAATTAGTGAAATTAGTTCTTTGCCTTAAAGAAAAATTGGGGTGCTGGTTTGCTGCTTTATGTTAACTGCTTATTATTGCCTGTATTGTACATTATAGATGAGCGTATATAAAGTTTTATAATGAAGTGTTTATAAAAGGGTATAGCGTCATTATAAAACATTTGGAGAATAGAAGTAGTAAGTCGGAGAGAAAAAGGCGAAGGCTAACATACATTACACTTTTGGTTATTTTTTTTTTTTATCTGTTTTTCCAGTGTGTACATAATGCTTGATACTTATTTCCAGCAGGTTCTTAAAACTAGCACATAGATCATCCTCACTGTACAACTGTTGTGCAGGTTTCCTCTGCACAGTTGGCTAGACCAGCCCCTGGTATGTTAGAGCTATGGAGATGGTACCATCTTGGGTTTAGTTTGGTCAAATTGGGTCTTTGAGCTCTAGAAATTCTAAGATTACATGATGGTAGAATCAAGCTGTTGTAGGGTAAATACCAGTTAGTTGTGTGCATGTATGTGTGTTTGTGTGCACGCTGATTGGGAGACCTTGGAGTCTGATTCATGGTTGGGTTTCATTTCAAGGCATTTTTGCTGAAGAAGTTTACTGCCTGATACCAGTGGTAGAGAGATTATTGTAGCCGGCGACGATGAGAGGACAAAGTCAAGTGGACTCCTGAAAGTGGATTTGGGGAGGCTGTGGAATAATAATTACTGTTTTATAAGCTCATTCCAGGCTACCAATTAATTAGTCCGATGGTGATCAGTAAGATGGGCCGTGTGGTTTTGCCTTGCTGATCACACACAGCTGAAGCGGGTTCTGACTTCGCTGTGGTCTTGCCAATGTGCTTTAGCATGCCTCCGTGTGTTAACCGTTCTTCTTGTGTTGACCTTTCTTATCTTTTCTCCCCTCCCTCCCTCCCTCCCTCCCTTTTTCCTCTCCCGGGACTTTTCCCCCTGCAGGTATCAAGCTGACCCTATCAGCTCTGCTGGATGGCAAGAATGTCAATGCTGGCGGCCACAAGCTTGGTCTAGGACTGGAATTTCAGGCATAAATGAATACTGTATAGTCGTTTAATTTTAAACTATTTTGAGCATAGCTACCTTCAGAATTTAGTGTACCTTTTAATGTTGTATGTCTGGGATGCAAGTATTGCTAAGTATCATGTTAGACCTCCAGGTTAAAGATGATTCAGCTTTAAGGTGTTACCCTTTCAGAGGTACAGAAGAAACCCAAGTCCACGAAAAGTCCTTTCAGCTGTAGACTTGGGGGGAGCTTGGTGGCCCCTCCAGAGAGTTCAGGTTTCTTTTTTATCTAGAAATGGCTGCAAATGGAAGCTGATAATTTATAGGCACTTTGTTCATTGGTATGGAGTACATGAATGAAATTATGACTTCCTGAGAATTGAACTGGGTTTCCTACCCAAAGGAGAGACTCACTGATGGTGTGTATAAACCTATCTGAAAGAGACTTTTTTAGACAGATTTTCCTCACCTGTTTCACCCCAGTCCATCACCTCTTTTACACCAAAAGTAGTCTGCAGGGTGTGGTAGCTGTTTCTTTTGTGCCATTTTGGGAAGGTGGATGTGATGAAGCCAATAATTCAGGACTTAATTCCCTCTCATGTTGTGGTTTTCTGCCCCTGCACCAGAGTATGAAATAGCTTCTAAAAGTCCCATCTCTGAGCTGGGAAGAGTCTCTGTGACTGTAATCACATTGTGACAACACTCGGAATCTAAATTGGACTTGTTCTATTCTCGCCACTTGGTTTATTTTTTAGCCATTTAATGGGTACATTTTAGAGTCTTCCATTTTGTGTGGAATTAGATCCTCCCCTTCAAATGCTGTAATTAACATCACTTAAAGTAAAACTTGAATAAAATATTGAAACCTCATTCTTCTGTTGTCTTTATTAATAAAAGTGTAAGTAAACAGGGCATTTGGCATTTGTGTTTGCACTGTGTGTGTGTGAGAGAGATTTTTAGTTTTCTATTGTTGCATAACAAATTAGCCAAATTGAGTTGCTTAAAACAACACTCATTTATTTCACAGGCCTGTAGTTCAGAAATCCAGCACGGTGTGACTGAGTTCTCTGTTAAGATTCTCATGATGCTGAAATAAGGATGTCTGCCAGACTGTGTTCTCGTCTGGAGCTTGGGGTCCTCTTCCAGGCTCAGTCCTCTTCCAGGCTCACATGGTTGTGGCAGAAGTCAACTCCTTTTAGTTGTTGTAGGATAATGGTCCTTATTTCCTTGCTAGCCATCAGGTAGGGGGTCCTCTCAGCAAATAGAGGCCAGTGCATTCCTTGCCACATGGTCCCTTCCCATCTTCAAAGCTGGAATGGAAGAATTCCCTTACTGTCAAATCCCTCTCACACTTGAAATCTCTAGGAAGAGTGCCAGCCACAACTTACCCTTTTAAAAACTTTATTATGTATTTATTCATTTATTTAAGAAAGATTTTAGTTATTTGAGGGAGAGCGCGTGTGCACTCGCATACATGCGGGGGGAGGAGACTCAGCGTGGAGCCCAACACAAGGCTTGATCCCATGACCCTGAGATCATGACCTGAGCCACAATCAAGAGTTGGACACTTGACTGACTGAGCCAGCCAGGTGCCCCTATTTTTTGTTTATTGAGGTATAATTGACATAGAACATACTAGTTTCAGGTGTACAGCATAATGATTCAGTATTTGTATATATTGCAAAATAATCACTGCAATACATCTAGTTAACGTCTGTCACCACACAAAGTTTTTCCCCTTGTGATAAGAACTTCTAAGATCTACTCTCTTAGCAACTTTCAAATATACAATGCAGTATTATTAGATTATTAACTATAGTCACCATGCTGTACATGACATCCCCAGGACTTACTCATTTTATAACTGCCCCAACCCTTTAAGGGCTCACCTGATTAGGTGAGGCCTCTGAGGAAAATCTCCCCTTAAAGTCTACTGTGCCCTTTAATAGCCTAATCACAGTAATGATATCCCATCATATTCACAGGTCCCTCTCACACTCAAGGGCAGGGGATCTTACAAAGGCATGGATCATTGGGGTATGTTCTAGAATTCTGCAATTTAGATTTTTAAAAAATGACAAGGTGTAAATTTCAAACATTTACAAAGTAGAAGGGTAAGCCAGCTTCAGTAAATGTGAACATTTTTTCCTATTCAATAATACATATTTTTAGGCAGAGTTCCTTTTTATGGATGTTTGGAAGTGAATACCAAACAAGTATCAGGTTTACTTAACCATTTTGTGCCACCCAAAACCTGCTGGCCTCAGTATTTGTCATACTGTCTTCATTGGGTTCATGAGGATCTGTATATGTTTCAAAGTGAACTTCTGACTTTGTCCAGAGATTTTGGCTCATAATGGTTGTTGGGTACATCCAGTGAGCTGGTATTTTGAAATGTACAAAGGGCCCTCTGAATATTGAGGGTATATTTCCCTCCCCACTTATATATTAAGAATCTGCCTGTTGGATGCAGCATGTCAGAATATTGTGCAAAATTCCTTGAGTTCATGATATCTGTAAGATATCCAAAACACACTGGTATGGGGACAAAAGGAAGAAAGTGGACAAAGAAGAGAAGATTGAAGGTGTGTTTATTATAGAAAAAGGCCTATGTCTGAATCTGCCAACAAGTAGAAGCTGGAATTGAGAGGCTTATTCATTAAACTGAGTGGTGGTTTGTGTACTCAGAGAAGGGAAAGCTCCAAGGGAATTTGGGAAGACTTTGTATCCTGGCTACCATGGAGGGTTTGCAATAAGGGCACCATTCAGTCTATCTAGGCTTGTGGTGGGCTTAAAGAAACCAACATGAATGACCTCTTAGTTTTCTTAACACAGAGTTTGTGTGTTTCTGAGCTGTCACTGGGGCCAGAGAAATGTTAAGGGAAACCAGATTCAAGAGAACAGGGGCCCTTCTCTCCTTAGAAGGGCAGTTCAGCTGTGTCTCTGGAGGATTCTTCTGTAGGAATCACGGAGATCAGAGTGGTGAAGCTATGGGTACAGCAAATGTCTTGCTTCATGCCATGATTTTCCTGCAAATCGATCAAGTGGAACTTCTATGATTTTTAAGCCTACAGACATTTAAAAAACATTTGCAGAACACACAGACCAAAGCATGTGTCAAGGCTGTAAGGGAACTCTAAATCTGCATTTTCATATACTGGGGGTTTCAAGTTACAAAATTTAAAAAGTAACAGAAACTTACTGTAGGAAATGTGGAGGCTGTTTGCACCCTACTTCCTATCCTGCTTTCCTGCTTTTTCTCCATTATGCCTTAACCATTGTATAGTGTATATTTTACACTATTGTCTTCCTCACAAAATAAACTCCACAAAGGTATGTGGTTCGTTTTGTTAACTGCTGTATACTGAAATATGAAAAGGTGCTAAATAGTTGTTGAAGTAATAAATGATAAGGAGAAATATAAAAAGTAAAACTTTTACCTTTAATTCCACCACCTAGATATGGCCACTGTGAACAGTTCAGTTTCATTTGCCTTTGGGAGAGGGAGGGCAGCTACTTCCCTTTTGGGATCAGCCTGTTAATTTATTTGAGAGAAAGAAAGCAGGAGGAGGGGCAGAGGGAGAGAGAATCCCAAGCAGAGTCCCCCCTGAGCACAGAGGTGGAGGCGGGGCTGGATCTCACCACCCTGAGATCACCATCTGAGCCAAAATCAAAAAGTTGGCCGCTTAAATTGTCAATCAGAGAAAGACAATTACATGATTTCACTCATATGTGGACTATAAAAAACAAAACAGAGGAGCATAGGGGAAGGGAGGGAACAATAAAACAAAATGAAATCAGAGAGGGAGACCAACCATAAGAGACTCTTATCATGGGCGCCTGGGTGGCTCAGTTGGTTAAGCGACTGCCTTCGGCTCAGGTCATGATCCTGGAGTCCCAGGATCGAGTCCCGCATCAGGCTCCCTGCTCAGCAGGGAGTCTGCTTCTCCCTCTGACCCTCCCCCCTCTCATGCTCTCTCTCTATCTCATTCTCTCTCTCAAATAAATAAAATCTTTAAAAAAAAAAGAGAGACTCTTATCATAAACAGGGTTGCTGGAGGGGGAAGGGGGGGATGGGGTAACTGGGTAATGAACATTAAGGAGGGCACCTGATGGAATGAGCACTGGGTGTTACAAAAGACCAATGAATCACTGAACTCTGCCTCTAAAACTAATAATACACTATATGTTAATTGAATTAAAAAAAAAGTTGGCTGCTTAACCCACAGAGCCATCCAGGCACCCCTTTCTTTTAACAATGTTTTAGGGGCTCCTGGCTGGCTCAGTCCATAAAGCATGCCACTCTTGATCTCAAGGTTGTAAGTTCGAGCCCCACTTCAGGTATAGAGATTACTGAAAAATAAAGTCTTTAAAAAAAAAAACCCAATTTTTTTTTAAGATTTTATTTGACAGAGAGAGACAGCGAGAAAGGGAACACAAGCAGGGGGAGTGGGAGAGGGAGAAGCAGGCTTCTCGCGGAGCAGGGAGCCCGATGCGGGTCTCAATCCCAGGACCTCGGGATCATGACCTGAGCTGAAGGCAGACACTTAAGGACTGAGCGCCCCAGGCACCCCAGAAAAACCCCAATGTTTTAGAATACTTTCCTGAACTGTATAGTATCCCATCACATGGCAGGAAGGGAGGGGCTCGCTCTGACCCTCTCTTCATCTAACACTTTACAGCCTCGGGGCGCCTGGGTGGCTCAGTCTGGCTCAGTCTGTTAAGCGACTGCCTTCGGCTTAGGTCATGATCCCAGCGTCCTGGGATGGAGCCCCGCATCGGGCTCCCTGTTCAGCGGAGAGCCTGCTTCTCCCTCTGCCTCTGCTGCTCCCCCTGCTTGTGTTCCCTCTCCCGCTCTCTCTCTCTGTGTCAATTAAATAAATAAATAAAATCTTAAAAAAAAAACCCAAACAACAAAACACTTTATAGCCTCAGCCCGCGAGGGGCTTGGGTGAGACCTGCCCCCTTCTGCAGCTCCATACCCTTCCTCCTTACCGGGTTTCCTCAGCCCTTCACGATAGGCTGCGACGTCATCACGTTGGGACGCAGAAGCCTCAGGCTGTGGTGCCTTACGCAGTGTCTTATGTCATGACGTAGAGCCTAGCAACAGCGCAGGCTCCTAGCGGAGTCCGTTATGGCCGCTGCAGCCTTGAGGAGGATGAGGGGAACCGTGCAAGCGAAACTGCGGCCTTCGCCGGGCCTTCAGGTCCCCGAAGTATTGGCGCGGCCGCTGGTCCTGGCGCTCCTGCTTGCGTCCGCCACCATGTCCAGCGGTAAAGGGGGCGCGGCGGCAGGGCGGGCGCGGGAAGACGCGGAGGGCCGGGCACGGGCGGGGAGACAGGCCCGGCCAGGGAAAGGACGCTTCCGAGTGTCCGGAGCAGATGGCTGTGTGTAGATAGGGCAGGGTCTCTAGGGGCGAGGACGGACAGTAGGCTGTCTGAGGGAGTCTAAGGAGGTGGGGTCTCTGAGAAGCCCGAGAAGTGGGGAGGAGAGATGCGGGGATCCAGGGAGCAGAGTATGTAGATGGGCGTGGAGGGAGGAGTGGTGGTGTTGTCTAGAGAGTCTTGAAGAATGGGTTGCCAGAGGGAATGGCGGTGGTAGGATCTCCAAAATTGCTTGGAGGGGGGAGTGGTGAGGGGACAGAGGGAACAGATCACCGGTGAGGAGATGGCCGCGGTTAGGAGGTGTGGTGTCTAGAGAGGGTCCCAAGGTGGGGGAGGCACCCAGGGGTCTAGTAGGACCAAGGGAGTGTGGGCGGTTTCCGGAACGGGTGAGATAAGTAGTAAAGATCAGGGTGGGCAGGGGCACTGACCAGACTAAGCTGATGGAATATTTTGGAGAGCAGAAGTGAAGGGGAGGGGCGACTGGGTGGCTCAGTTGGTTGAGCGACTGCCTTCGGCTCAGGTCATGATCCTGGAGTCCCTGGATCGAGTCCCGCATCGGGCTCCCTGCTCCGCGGGGAGTCTGCTTCTCCCTCTCCCACTCCCCCTGCTTGTGTTCCCTCTCTCACTGTGTCTTTCTCTGTCAAATAAATAAATAAAATCTTAAAAAAAAAAAAAAAGTGAAGGGGAGAAAGCTATCTTAGGGTACTGGTGCTCGGTAAAGAGCCAGATTACTGAGGCTTTGGGCTCCTGAGGGGCTTGGGACGAGGAGAGGAGGAAGGCGACAGGGGAGATTCTTGGTAAACATGGTTCCCTGTGTCCTGGCTTAGCCGGACAAGACCGCTTCATTTTAATGGAGTTGTAGGATTTGATTATTTCGTTTAAAAATTGTTATTAAAATTCTTTTTATTATTTATTGAGGTATGATTGGCATATAACATGTTAGATTCAGGTGTACAATATAATGATTTGATATTTGTGTACACTGGGAACTGATCACCACAGTAGGTGTAGTTAGCACTCATCACAATACAGAGTTACAAAATTTTTTTTTCTTGTAATGAGAGCCTTTAAGGTTTACTCTCCTAGCAACTTTCAAATATGCATTACTATATTACTGACTATAGTCACCATACTATATATTATTACATCCTTATGACTTATTTTGTAATTGGAAGTTAGTACCTTTTTTTTTTTTTTAAAGATTTTATTTATTTGACAGAGAGACACAGCGAGAGAGGGAACACAAGCAGGGGGAGTGGGAGAGGGAGAAGCAGGCTTCCCGCTGAGCAGGGAGCCTGATTCGGGGCTCGATCCCAGGACCCTGGGACCATGACCTCAGCCGAAGGCAGTCGCTTAATGACTGAGCCATCCAGGCGCCCCAAGGAAGTTAATACCTTTCTGCCATTTCACCAACCTCTAATTCCCTCTTCTCTGGCAACCACCAGTCTCTTCTCTATGAGTTTGACTTGTTTGTTTTGTTTTGATTTTTTTTGTTCCACATACAGGTGAAGTCATATGGTATTTGTCTTTCTCTGTCTGACTTATTTCAGTTAGCATAATGCCTCAAGGTCCATCCATGTTGTCACAAATGCCATATTTCATTTTGTGTGTGTGTGTGGCTGAGTAGTATTCCATTGTATATACACACCACATCTTTACCTGTTCATCCATCCATGGGCATTTAGGTTGTTTCCATATCTTGGCTCTTGTAAATAATGTTGCATGATTAAGTATTTTTTTTCTTAGAAATGTTACATTGTGAATGAAGATATTGAAGGCTTTATCAGGAAATAAAGAAATATGTAACCTAGGGCCTGAGACTTAGGGGGAACAAATCCATTAATAAGAATTTGTAATGATTAAGCAGTATTTTGTTTAGTATTCCTTTTTTTCTTTAGGCTAAGACACAGTCCTGCTTTTCTCCTTAAATCTTTTTTGACTTTTCAGTGAAAAACAGTATGAATGGGATAGTGTTTTCTTATTTGCCGACAGGGGCTGTCTAGCCATACATTCATCTTTTACAGTGCTGTGGTTACTTCCTTAGGTTTCCTCAGCAGCAATGAGGGTAGGGCAGCCACCGTCCCAGAAGCGTTTGTAAGTCTGTGGGGAAGGACTGAGGTTCATTTTCCCAAGGCCCTTTAATCATGAGTAAACTATAATGAGGATTTTTCTGGTTGATGCAGATATTCCTGTTCCTAAAGTGCTTACGTAGCATGATTGTTTAGTTATTTAATCATTTAAGAAAAAACCTGACATTTAAGCATTTATATTTCTTCCTGGAATGCTTAAGACATACAGTTTGAGGGATCTATAGCTGGTAACTGTATTTCAGAAACAGCCTTTCCCCTGGTTGAAAATTTTGTAGGGAGGGGCAAGCGAGGGGGGAGTGTGGAGTATTAAGGTGTCTTCTTGTCTTTTTATTTATTAGAGTGCCATAAATAGTTCTCCAGCTAAACTGGGACATTTTA